AGATTATATTAGGTCAGTTTTCTTTCTCCTTTTTTGTTACTGTTTGTTTTTCTCTTGAAGGAGAGGGGTGGTTTCCTGTTACATTCACATTTGTCATTATCTGGGTTGCAGGTACCCTTATGTGTGTACAAATAAAATAATTATAACTTCAACAACAATAATCCTTTTTCATGTGTTTCAGGTGATAGTTGGCCACGGGGAGCCTGCACCTCGCCTCTGCAACAAGGACCCGTTCGCCTTGAAATCTCTCTCGTATCTGTCACGCATCTTCCCCAAAGCCAAGTTTGTGCTCATGCTACGAGACGGGCGGGCTACCGTCCACTCCATGATATCACGCAAGGTATGCTGGGTGTTAGAAAAATATCACTCGTCACCGGCTTGAGCTTCAATATCAGGATACATGTATTTATTATCCTTGCAAGAATGGAAGTAGTCATCACATACAGAACATATGGGACAACTAGTTCCTGAACAGTGTCCTTCACATGCTTATATACAAGAGAGGGTGTTACAGTCACAAGATGGAGGAATACCGGTTGAAAGCAGTATACAATGTTTAGTTTAGATTAGCTAAGACCCACGTCAGAAATGATCATGCTTGTCATATATCTATCTCTATAGAGGCTGAATCATCATGTTAATCACATAGCTATCATATGCCTAAAACAGTCCTGACGCTCTTCCAGGTAATCATACATCCTGTCATGTACGCAGTTACAGTTGGGCCTTTGTTATCACAGCTACTCTGATATTGAAAGAGTACATTCGGTATTTTCCCAACACCGGGTATCTTTCTTTTATTAGGCTGGCTGGCTGGCAGACAAACTTCCTCATGTTTCCACACAGCCACTTGACAAATATGTACTGCTTGCACATTGCGACATTTTCCATCCTGTGGTTGTTATTCGTTGTGATAAGTCTAATTTGTTTATCACATCTCTACCTCCACACAGGTGACTATCTCAGGCTTTGACCTGACCAGCTACAGGGACTGTCTGACCAAGTGGAGCAGCGCCGTGGAGACCATGTTCAGCCAGTGCCAGGCGGCCGGGGAGTCCAGATGTCTGCCCGTCCGCTACGAGCAGCTCGTCCTCCACTCAGAGGAGGAAATGAGGAAGTTGCTTCACTTCCTGGAGCTGCAGTGGGACCCGTCAGTGCTGCACCATGAAGAGCTGATAGGGAAGGCTGGGGGCGTGTCTCTATCCAAGTGAGTATGTGAAATGTGTGTACAGTTAGTCAGCTCAAGTGGTATCTGACCATGCAGATGCTTTTAGTTTCAAGTGCTCATATTTAGTGGAAAGGCATGCTATTACTCAAATGTAAAAGCTGATTGGATGTCAACGGTAGAAAAAAAAGCACAGATCTTCACCCATCTGTTTTTTTCATTCGGCATTATTATTCCACCTGCATATTCCCACCCTGTTGCTTTGAGATATATTTCAGTCAAAGGGTGTCAGTCTTTTCTTACAGGCTGCTGTCATTTTCACATCTCACACCTCTCTTTCCATCTTCAGCCTCTGTCCCTGTCGACTGTATAGAAAGAAACTCATTGGTTCCTGATCGTTGATGATTTTAAAAGCTAACCACAGCATCATTTAGCTGCTAGAAATATCTTCATGGGACTTTATATCATGTATAACTGGATAGCTGTCATTTAAAGAATACAAATAACATCACTTCAAAGGGGTCAGAGCCAGAAATGTAAAATACTTAAAAATTCCCCCATTGCAGTTTTGCCCTCCTTAGAAATGTTAAATAAACCTTCTGAAAACAAAATAAATTGAAAGTAATGTTTTGAGAAAAACATTTTAAATATGCATGTTTTTATAAATGCTGTTTAAAAACCTTCCCCACTGTTTCACATATATAATTGTGGAACAGCAATTAAACAGATTATCAGCCATAAAAACATAACGTAGAATATGTGTGTCATCGAAGAATATACTCCAATTTATTTCAATCAACCAATTTCCACAAATATTACAGAGATCAGACCTCAATGAACTGCACCTACAGAGCCCATCATTTCTTGTTATTTAAGTATATTAAGATGTTTTTTCTTGACAGAATTCAGATGCAGCACACATTGAGAGGCAGCTTTTGAACACTAACAACTCGTATAGTCCTCTGAGCCAGTGGGAAGTCTGCTTAGAGCCAGAGATTTCATCTGAAGTAGCCAAACCTCTCAGGGCCAAGTGAAGCTTCCAGACTCCCCTCTGTAGATGTTTAATCTGTGTTGCTCCACTAATTTGTCGTGATTCAAGTTGAGCATCTCGTTGCAGGGCAGAAGCTCAGGGGATTTGGTGGAAAATCTGTCCGCTTCAAATCTGCTAAAAACCCAAACCTGGCGTGTATTTTAAGGAATTAGGCCACATTCTGAGGGAATTAGCACCCTTATTTTGACGAGTTATGCAACTGTTGGCGCAATATTAGTCATAAGAATGTTTTATAACATCCTCAGAAATGTGACATGTTGTGGTTCTGAATCATGTATTTACATGCTAATGAACACATCTATTTATTTAGGGTGGTGGGAAGATATGCATGGAAAAGATTAAATGGCAATTAAATAAAGCATAAAACACATTTTTATATTGTTATATAATCTTTATATGAAGGCATTTACAGTGTCATAAATGTTTTATGTAATTTTTTGTCTTAACTGTTGTATTGACTTTCACTATGTGCAATTGCATACATAAATAAAAAATATAGCACTATTTAGTGGTTTATGACAAGGACCATTAAAGTGGCAGCATTCCAGTCGAACACACACTAACAGAATGACCTTGTGTTTGTGTGCAGGGTGGAGCGCTCCACAGACCAGGTGATAAAGCCGGTGAACACAGACGCCCTCTCCAAGTGGGTCGGGCACATTCCCTCCGACGTGATCAGCGACATGGCTGAGATCGCCCCCATGCTGGCTCGCCTCGGTTACAATCCCCACGACAACCCACCCGACTACACCAAGCCAGAGCCCATGGTGTCTCCGCTCAACAACTCACAGGTGAGCTAAAACAAACTGTTTAAACAACAGTATCACGGCTCAATTAAAAAATTCATTATATACATTTAATTTTTTTACTGAAAAACGACTGACTTTTTAATTATTTAATATGTTGTTTAATCTGACTTGCGATAAAAGCCCATTTAAATGTAAATGTGATTTGCTATTTCGAAATTAAATGATTCGATATTATCGTTGATTGATCAAATGGTTCGGCACCATTTGACAGGAATTGTATTTAATATTTGTTTGGATTTTTTTTTTTTTAGAAGTAGTTGAACCATAAATATATCTTAATGTGGATAACACTGAAAAGATTGCGAAAGAGAAACACTGAGAATTTTAAGACTTAAGAAATGGACTTTACCATTTTCACCCATCGATATCACAGCAACACAACACTGATATGCATCATACACGACCCCGCTGTACGCACTGGAGTTCGACCCCTTATTGCAGCTTTATCACAAAAACACAATTTCCCAATCTGCTGTCGTGGCCTCCAGTCATGCAAACCTTATTTTTTTAACAGCTGTCAAAATGAATCAAAGCTCCAATCGTACTCTCCAAATGTACTCTACTACTCCTCTTCTCCTACTTTTCACCCTTGAAAATATTTCCATTCATAAGTGAACATTGTGTCTTTCTTTTCTTAGAATTTGAAAGCAACAGAGAATCCACATCCCAGTTAAGCTTTTGAGGAACATCCCTGCAATCCAGACTCCCTGTTCCACTCTATGGATGCACCTTACAGACAGACTTCTCATTCAGCAGTAATTACACCTCAAAGGACAGATGTTAAAAGTGTTCCATGTGTATTTTTGAATTGTTTTTAAGACTTATGTCTGGTGTATATGTCTGAACGCAGATAGGAGTGTTACAAACACGACCTCACACAGTGGTTTGTGTTTTATATCCCATGTGGATTAGCTTCTGGAAGAAGTTTCTCACTTTCCAACATGTCCGAATCAACAGTATTACACTGCAATGACGCGTCCTCTCACCTTGTAACTGAAAGTATTGTGTGAATGTGTCTTTAGACAAATCTTTCACTTACTGAGAGCTCAGTCAGTGTTCATGAAGCATAATGACTGTATATTTTTGAAGACGTATGTTTATTTTCTTAATAAATTATTTTGGTGTTGACAATTCATTCAGGACCTTAATGTTGTTCTATCTGAATTGAGGGTTTTTTGATTGTTGTAAATTGTTCAATTTGAATTAAAATTGAATTAAAAAAAATTTTCTTCATGTATTTTGTTAACTACTTGTTAAGGTACCAACTAAGGACACATTTCTTGAAAAATAAAATAAAAAGATTCTATTTGTAGTTAAGCACAATGTTACGCCCGCTTTTGAGGTGCTTGAGAATAAACCTATTAACAGTATTATTACACACATAATCTATAATACTGGATGAGCATGCTGACAGTAAACCGAGCCACAGCGCCCACTGGTGGTGCGAACACAGCCCCAAAAATACCCTTTTTGCCAAGTTTTCTTTTATAGAGACACAATATTCTTGACCAAATTTGACTGTCTTTATGGTTTAGTAGGAATATGAATATTATTAACACTAATAACATTCAAGTTAAATGGCACACTTTTCAAATAAAACCCTGAGATAGAGTGTTAAATAAAAATATAAAATCAGATAATAGTTTAAACTAAACTTGTATAACCATGTGATTAGACCACAATGAGCTACAACTGATGCAAGGTTTAACAATGGACTGAGGTAATAAAGTGCAGCTATACTCAGACTATAAAGGCAAACATACATCAGACTGCTGCTGTGAAAAACAGTTAGACATAACAAATTACGCAGTGTGGTCCACTATTCAACAACAACTTTTCAAACATATCTACATTTCTAACATTTCTATAATAAGATAACCAAAATAATTCCTAATTCCAATTTGATTCTTAAAAATGAAAAAAGGCAAATGAATTCAAAACAAACTGATCATAGGGTTAAAGTGAAATTTGACCTCTATGAGGCACATTGGACCCCAGGCCTCTGTTCCTGCTCATCTGTGGATGTGAACATGGCAGCCACCGTGTTTTGTTGGTCTGTTGGCGAGCGGGGCAGGATGCGGTGAACTGGGGGGGGCGGGGCTTCTGATCTGCACCTGATCATGTACAGTAAACACCTGGAGAACTGAGAGAAACACAGAGGAGGTGCAGGCAGCATGAAACTGATGCACCTTTAGCTGAATAAAAAACAATCTTATTTAGAAGAAGGGCAGAGGAGGGAGAAGTACTCAGATATTGTACTTAAGTAAAAGTAGAAGTACAAGAGTGTAGGAATACTCTGTTACAAGTAAAAGTGCAAAAGTATAAGCATCAAAATATACTTAAAGTACAAAAAGCAAAAGAAATCATTATCTAAATTGGCCCATTTTAAAATAATATATTTTGTATTTGTTTATTATAATTATTGATGAAGTAATGTGTATATCAAAGCTGGTAAAGGTGCAGCTAGTCTTATTTACTTTGTATGCTGCAGGGTAGCTTGTGAATGTTAATCCAAGTGTAACTAAAACCTTATTTAAGTGTTGATTATATTTCTACATCAGGAATTGAAAGCTGCAAAGTAACTAAAGATATTAAATTATGTAGGGGAGTAAAAAGTACGCGATTTACCTCTGAATTGTAGCGGGATAGCAGTACAAAGTAGAACACAATTGAAATACTCAAGTAAAGTACAAGTCTCTCATAATTGTGCTTGTGTGATGACAGTGTTAGGGATGTTAACAGGAAGGTGTTGTTACCTGGTTGTTGAGCAGCACATATATAACCGGGTTGATGACGGTGCTGGTCTTTGCCAGCAGGGATGGTATTAAAGTGGCGGCAGGCGACACCCCTCCCGGCCGCCCAAATGAGGCGAGCATTGCCACAACGCCATATGGCATCCAGCACAATATGTAGCCTGTCACCATGGAAACCACCATTAAAAGGACACGGCCTTCCCTCCGCTCAGCTGAGGGCCGGTTGATCCTGCTGACCTGGAGACACAGTGATTATGAGATGTTGGGCCCTAACACACTCTCTACAGGAGTTCACTTTATAGTTGTTAAACCTGTTTTTTAACCTGTTTTTTTCTGAGGTTGTTTGGGCCCTTTTTGTAATTGTGTGTGTCTTATTAGTTGTAATGTTTCTCTTTGTTGCTTCTTTTTTAATAGCTTGTAGTATGTATTTTTGTAGTTGCTTTGGGTGTATGTAGTTATTTTGAGTTTCTTTGTAGTAACCTTTTGTTGCTTTGTTGTTATTTTCAGCAACCTAGTAGTTTATTTGTCTCTTTTTGTTGTAATTATTAGTCCCCTTGTAGACATTTTGATTCTCTTTCTAATCACGTGAGTCTCTTAAGATCTGTTTGTTCTTTGTCTCTCTGAAGTTGTGTTGAATCACTTGGAAGTTGCTTTGTTTCTCTCCTTGTAGCCGGTTCACTACACTATTCCATGTCTGGACGCACACACTCACACATAGCTTCCACAAACACTGGAGAACACATATAATACACAGAGGGGTCAAAGGTCATTTTGCACGCTCACCTGTCTCTCCACCGATCGCACAGCCAGCAGGATCTTCCCGTAGCAGAAGATCATGAGCAGCAGCGGCAGCAGCAGGCAGAAGATGAACAAACAGCTGATGTAGGAACGCGCTGTGGGTGAGCGCTGGTGCCACTGGACGGAGCAGGTGGTGCCAGGACCCTCCAGCCCGTAGCTGCTCCATGACATACAATTGTACAGACATTTTCAGAAAAGCAACACTTTATTTTGTTATTTACTTTTAAACGAGTCACTTGTTAATGATGTATTTTACTAACTAATTAAAGTAACACATACTATCCTCCTAGTTTAAGCATGCATTTGATTGAATAAGTATACATGAATTATCTGATTAGTGAAATAGTTTCATGGTGATTTTAAAGAGTGATTCAGACCTGCTCCAGCCCAGCAGTGGTGGCAGAGTCCAGACCAGTGAGTAAAACCAGGAGGCAGCGACAGCGAGTCTGGCCCTGCGGTACTGGGAGGAGTCTGAGGGGGAGCTGTGGAGCAGCACACAGTACCGCTCAAAGGACATCAGAGAGAGAGACACCAGAGATACTATACCTGACAGAGAGAAGAACAGCAAAGAACTGCATCAAACGAGACTATCATGAAATGATTCCTATTCAACTCTGACCTAAATTCACAGAATGTGTACTTTTACTCCATTGCATGTACAGCTGCAGATACAAGGGTTTACATTTAACATCTAAAATAGGATGCATTCTATTGTTAAATTAGATTAACTAAAATTGGTACAACTGCACAACATGTATCTAAAAATAAACACTTTAAAAGTAGATCTTATTTTTGAAATATGAAATACTTGTACTTTTAGATTTATTACTGATGCTAACACTTTTATTTATGGTGGAGTTAATACGATCACTCACCAAAAAATGCATTTGAGAAACCATACCAGCGGCACCCAGAGGACCCGGTCAGCCACCGGCCGCGCACGCTGGCCGCGAAGCTGAGGGGGGTCCCAAAGATGCAGACGAGCATGTCGCTGGCGCTGATGTTGATCAGCAGCAGGTTCACAGGAGTCACCAACCCGGGGAAACGTGAGAACACCATCAGCACGAGGAAGTTACCAAGGAAGCCCAGGACCAGAATGACCCCCAGGAACACGGCTGCCACGGTGTGAACTGTCCGGGGTAGCGCACCGAGTTCCGATACTGAGCTGTGTCCGGTGCTGATGTTGTAGCTTTGCTGCAGGACGATCACCATGACTTCCTGGTAAGAATGCCTAAACCGAAAAACAGAATGAACAAGTCATAAAACAAATACATTACTGCTGATTTAGATTTGGGCCCTATTATGATTTCTGGGGTTTCCCTCACCCCATGCCTGAAACGCCTCGATTGGACTACTTTGTTTTCCTCCGCTACATAGTGACATCACTATGAAACACCTGCGCTTCTATTGGCTAGCGCCCCAACACATTGGCTAAGGGGCGGGACATCTCTAAGCGGTTGAGCAATCACAACAGAGCGGCCAGCTAACCAATCAGAGCAGAGGTGCTGCAGCACAGGCAATATGAGAAAAATAAAGATATTTTTTTTACATTAAAGCATGTAAACATGTCACAGTAGAGGCACTAAATACAAATATGAACCTGGAAATCTGCATAATAGGGCCCCTTTAAGGCAGAAAACACTTATTAAGCACTGTGTACTCTTGAGACACGGATGAAGGGATGCAATATTTAGCTTTGTTTGTCTCACACACATATAAATACCTGTGGGATGATCCTAGTGTTTAAACACCCCATTGTGTTCACATAGAATACATTTGGTTTGTCTATTCATATTGTTATAAAATAATAACGGAAATACAGACCCTCAATAAAAAGGAAACACTCAATTATCGTTATCATAGTTTATAGACAATAGAAATATAGTTATATGTTTATTGTTTCCCCCCTTTTTCTATAGCCTATTGACATTTAAATACATAGGCAAGGCAAGTTTATTTATATAGCACCTTTCAACACAAGGCAATTCAAAGTGCTTTACAACAATGAAAGACATTAAGAATATGGCATTTAAAAACATGTAGCAGTCATTAAAAAGCAATACATACCATCTAAGTTAATTCAATCTCTGAAAATAAAAACACTAAGAGAGTTATACTACTACAATACAAATGTTGGCTAAACAAACCTCTAGATAACATACTACAGTATTAATAGACACATCAAAAAGTGAATAACATCTCCAAACCTTCACAGGACCAAGGACACATTCCCACAGAGAAAGACCGAAGGAAAATGTAAACCAAGGTGTAGAATCTAACGTTCTGTCGTAGATGACCACTACTCAATCAGACACGTCCTTATTATGTTCCTTACTTTATTCTAGACCAGATTGGAGACCTAAATAACTGAGCCAACATATCAATAATACAAGCTGTGGTGGACTGAGCGGATGAGCCAATAACACACTCAGCCTGGCAGCAGAAGCGGAAGACACTAATGAACATTTTAAGGGAGTCGGCTGCTTTTTACCACACCAAAGTAGATAGGGTTGTGATTATTTTTATTACATTGTAATAAAAATATACAGCTCCTAAATCCTGCATTACAGCTTTTAACACAATAAGCCACTGATGCACTATTGTGATGCAGCTACCCATAGTTATTTTGTTTGAACTATCACGCTTAGGCAGAGACCTACTGCTAACAACATCTGTACAAGAGACAGAAGAGTAGCTGAGTTTGTTTAAAAAAAATACACTTTTGGATGAGAGTTGCAGGTGAATTTTATGTGCAAATATCTCCAAGAAAATTGTGTTAAGCACTTCTAAACTATACATTTACTCCAAGCCTCATTATGTTTCATTTAGTTTCTAAGTTTCCACAGCTATAGACAAACAAAAGGCCAAACACAATAGCTTCATTTCTAAATAAACAAACATCTTTTGGTCAGTTATTAAAAGTCTGTTTTTTATTTTATTCTATACACACACACATTTTTTGTGTGTAAACTTGGGCAAGGCTCCCCTCAGGTCCGGGCCAACCTTTAGACACAAATCAGCAGCGATACATAATATTTGACAAGTGTACAACTTGCATGATTATATAATTGATTAATAACTTAGAGTTCTTGCTAGTTTATGTTTTTAACATTAGATAAGATGATGCTGTCTGGTTTAACTGCATTTAAAGTGCAGACAAATTGACTTTGTTCCTGCCAATGTTTTAATGGGAAAAAAAGTCAATATTAATTAATGGGATATTCTATTCTTCTATTCCAAATGTATTTATATACAATAAAACATTTTCCAACACAATGTTGCTTTGACATTGCAATTGCTTTGAATTGACACAGTAGGCTATGTATAACTGATTTCCCATGCTTTCTCCTACTGTATATCACTAAACATGAGGACCAAAACCATCTAGATGTTGGCAGTAACATACCGTGTTTTTATTTAATTGTGATAATAATAGGTTAATCGTTTCACTATTTGTATTTAATAAGCGAGGGAACATATCGACGCTTTAGTGACGTAGGCAGAGAACGACGTTTCCCGTAGCAACTGGGGCCGAACCGTTAACCGCAGCGGCCGTTGTACTACCGGAGCTTATCAAGGAGCTGGGGGGGGATTGTCGTCGGTAACGGGACACCTCCTCTGTCTTGTGAGGCGAAGAGGCACGGGGGCAACACACCATCGAGTCGGCAATCCCGCAGTTCCGTGCGGAGATGCTAAATATGTGGAAAGTCAGAGAGCTAGTGGACAAAGCGTGAGTAATACCGAGGAGCAGGTGGAGCTACTGGCTCAACCGCTAAGTGGCTGCTAAGCTACCCGGCTAGCTAGGCGGTTTTACCCAGGCAGCATCAGCAGCTTTAGCCGGGCAGCATCAGCAGCTTTTATCGCTAGAGGACAGGATACGTCACGGAGATAGCCCCTCAGCTGTTAGCTCTTCCTAGCTGGCTAGCTGCCAATCTTCAACACTGTGGCATAAATAGATATTTGTGTTTAACAATAGATTCTCCCATTGCATGTTTTTTTCTACACCTATTCATATAGGCCATGCAAATTACAATTACAAACTCCGACTTCATTTAATTCCAAACCACAACGAACGCTATCCAGTTAGCTGTTTTCGCTAGTATTGCTAAGCCCAGGTTGTCTGTGTGTTGGTGCTGCTGCGGAATCACGCCCTGTCCCACCCTGATGCCCGCTACCTAAACCATGCATTTACCTAACATTGTTTCCTCATTGGGAAGCTAAGCATCAAGGATGGCAAGCTAATACGCCAGATAATTGTTTGTGGATAGTACTTTTCCTGGTAATAAGCGAGCAACCATGTCTCAACGCAGCCCACGATGACCCCCTGGTCCCGGACAGTTAGGACAACAAAGCTCGTCCATACAGATCATACTGTAATGGCTACTGTTGTTGATGCAGACTACTATATTTTGATTATTTCTCTGAGTGCTAGACTACATGCTTCATTGTGACGTGTGTCTGTGGGATATCTTTTGTTTCAAGTATAATGGGCAGTATAATTGATATAGTCATTATACTGTTACCCAGGAGAAGGAAGAAGAGGTGGGACAACAACAGCCTACCTACCCTCCTGTTTGTTTGAAAAGCCACACTCAGTTATCTGAATCATTTTTAGTTTAACCATCGTTGGAAGACATTTTCAGTTATTTTACGTTAAAGTAACTAACTTCAGTGTAGAAATACTTTGTTAAAATTAAAAATACCTGTGTTCAAAATCTAATGTGCCACTGTACTAGCATGAACATATACTTCGAGAGATAAAAGTGCTCTTTAGGCAGATTTCATTTGTAATAATAATCTGAATGTGTAAAGAGTAAACTAGTAACAAGAGCTGTAAAATAATTAAAGATAACATAAAATAGAAAACTTCCTATGTATACTTAATTCAGCTACTGAGTGAAATCTAGGTGCAATTCATTATTAGTTGCTTACTCTTCTTAATCATTTCGGTTTTTTTCTTACAGTTTGTCAAATAATTTACATTTTGGTGGTAGAGTTTTGATGTCCGTCTTAATTTCTTAGGTCATTTTATTAGTGGCATACTCGTCTGTTATCGAAATATAATTTGAATATTTGGTTGAAACTGTCAGAGTGGGTTCATTTAAATATACATTTACAGTTCGCAGTGCCGTTGAACTGGACTGCATTATATTGAGCGGTGTTTCTAATGCTTTTCCTGAAGGGAGTAAAATATGACCCATAGTATATATTTAATATATTTATCAATGAAAATGAGATTGATTCCTCAACACTGAGCATTCGCTCCAATAGTGTAAATCATATTGCATTTGCAGTCAAAATAATTTTAATTACAATTTTCTTCCCAAATAAGTAAGCCCTACTTGTTAATGTGCACTTGCATTTTATCAATTCTGAAAATAAGGTTAAATGCAGTGTAAGGTATACTGTGTGGGTGTTGTATTAACACTGTAGTTATTTCATCTGAATACTGAAACCTTGAACACTTTTATTTAGAGAAACTGCCCAGTGGCAAGGAGAGTGCGATATATATTCCAAAATAATGTTTTTACTGAAGAAAGTTTGATGAACTCTAACATTCATGTATACCTATTTAAATACAGACCATGATGATGATAAAAACATTGGTATGGCCAACAAGGCTTCCAAGAGGAGGCCGTCCCTAAGTTCTTTCTTTTTACATTTTCCAAATCATAGCTTTATTTTCCACATTTCCACATTTGAGACCCTACTTTCTCTGGCTGGCTTCACACTTTATTTGTCAAATTATTTAGCAAAATGTGATAATGGAAAAATACCGGTTGATTTGCATAAAGGAAAGATAAGTGAAGAGAGAGAAGAAAGGAGATAAGAAGAGGGAATATACAGTAAAGTCGCACAATCAGAGAGCTCAACAGAGATTTAAACGGAATAATAGACACCAGCTCCCATCAGCTTTTGGTTGTGCCTGGCTGGGCCTGATGAATACACTCCATTATTGATCTACCTCAATAGAGCTGGCAGCAGCAGCCTTGCTTTCCCTGCAGATGAAGAGTCACACTACTATGGAGCTCTCGCTGTCTATGTCTGTCTTATCTACCGACAATAACACAGTCAAAGGCAGCTCTTGTGATGTACAGATGCCTCTTATTTCCTTCAGCTAGGAGAGTGGCAGAGCTTATAGGAGAAAGAGACGGCAAGGAAAGCTGCTGTGGAAGGAAAGAGGAAGATAGAATCAGGAGATTTGGAGAGGA